TGTATTACAGTTTGGACATGGTCTGTCCCCGCAAAGTTCTGTGTTAAATTTGTGGTCCCAGCAGTGAAGCTATCAGGAGGTGGGGCCTAGTAGGAAGTCTTCAAGTCACTGGAGATGTTCCCTGAAATATGATATGGAGATGTCAGTCTCTTCCTCTTCCCCTGTTAATTCACTTCCTAAGCATGAGGTAAGCAGTTTTGCTCTATTACATGCTCCCCACAGTTGCAATTGGACCCTCCTATCAGAGGCCTAAAAACAGGGAGTCAACCTGATTATGCACTGACATCTCTACAACGGAGCCAAAGTAAATATTTTCTCTTTATAAGTTGATTATCTAGAGTACTTTGTATAGTAATGTAAAGCTAACACAACCTGGGAAGCCAAGTTTGTGCCAGAAAACAGGGAGTTGCCTTTCTCAACTGAGGAGTATCAAACCTTAAGACATTTAAAGGTTTCTGAGGAAAATCAGTTTGAAGGATATTAATACTGAGTCATTAAATGTAGTTCTGTTGTTTACATGTCACAAAGTAATGTATACTTAGTATATAAAATCAATAACAAAATATTCTGTAAACAGCTAGTTAAACTGGAACCACCCGACTGATTGAAAAGGTGTAGCTAATTAAGTTGTTCTAAATTGACTTTTGGTTTTCTATAAATGCTGCCATGTCACACTGTTATTGGAGTTCTCAGAAGCTGCTCTAGTTCTGCAAGCTGCCCAGTTGGCAAATCTATTTTGTTCTGTTTTACTCAAATGAACTCTATTAATTTTAGTTGGTCTAAGAAATTTTCCTTTCAATAATACTTTCTTCATATGAAAATGATTTTATAAATATTCCATGGGGGGATAAAATTCAACTTTTCTGTAACATGGTTAATCAAGATTAGCTTTTTTAGGCTGGGGATTTAGCTCAGTGGTTCTGCTGCCTACCTTGCAAGTGCAAGGTCCCGAGTTCAATTTCCAGTACCAAAAAAAAAAAAAGAAAAGAAAAAAGAAAGAAAAATTAGCTTTTTTCTGTAATTTAGGGAAATTTATTTCAGTTTTCTAATTTAATATTGATAATGTCATCTTTCTGATTGTTTTCAAATTTGGAAGAACCACTAATAGGTTTTTGGTGAGGTATTGATGAGCAAACCAGATCCTTAGCTGATATTTTTACAAGCTTAATGACTGGAATAATTTTCCATAGATTAGTGTCTGTCCCTATATACATCAAACCTTGTTTCTTCTCCCCAAGCATACTTTTTATGGTAGACATTGTACAGGTTGAACATCCTAAATCTGAAAATTTGAAATGCTCCATAATCAGAAACTTCTTGAGTGCAATAATACCACAAGTACAAAATTCCTCAGCTGACATGTGATAGGTTGAAGTTAAAATGCAAACAGAGTAAAAATACGGCACATGAAATTACCTTAAGACAATGCATATAACGTATACTGTATATGAAATATAAATGAATTTTGTGTTTAGATTTGAGTCCTATACCCAAGATATCTCATTATGTATATGCAAATATTCCAAAATATGAAAGTATGTGAAATCTGAAATGTGTCTGGTCTCAAGCATTTTAGACAAGGAACTATCAACCTGGGCAGTATCATGCAAAGATTAGGTAAGCCAGCAGTCAGTAGAAAGAATATTCCTGGAAGTCAATGCTCTAACACTATGGTTAGCGATAACTTGATAATACATGGAAGCCACTGTAAACATAAGTATATCTCAAAAAACAAATAACTTATCCAGACCCCAAACCTCCCATAGCCATTTTAACACCAATGACAAGAAGGGAGGTCAAATGGAGCCGGTGGTTTTTAACTTATGTGTAAAAAATCCTTTTGTACATGTATGAATTTTACTAAAATATACAGTGGACCCTTGGCTTACCATCTCAATTGGTTTCAGAGGTCTGGTTGTGATTAAGTTGGTTGTAAGTCAATACAGCTGAGATTTGGATGGTTACCTGGGTACACCCTATAGAAAACAAGAGGCAAATGAATCTTCCATTAACTTAATTAATCCAAGTTGTTTGCATGTCAGGCCAGTCTGAACTTGAGGGTCCACTGTATATGATCACATAAACACATGCCAAGGAGGCTGTGCAAATTAGGAATGCTAGTGGCTAAGGGGGTAACAAATATTATACTGATCATCTAAATACAATGGTAGTGTCTTTTAGAGCTACAAAATCAATCAAGTTAATGTCAGGTAAAAGGCTGAAAACCAAGACCAGACCAGGCCACAACAAGCCTTTATTAGGGGAACAGATCTGCTGGGCTGTCTCTGAACAAAGAAGAGACAAAAGCAATAAGGCCAGAACAGCAAGTGCCTTTTATAGGGGCTTGTAGGAGCTGAGGTGGGGTTGAGTGAGGTAGTGACTAGGGACTGGCGGAGCCTGTGATGTCATTAGTTGTTAGGAGGAGAGCAAGTATTAGGTTACTCTTTTGGTGGGAGTAGGGGCATGTTGGAAAAACGGTAGCTATTATATACAGCAGCCACCCTAAATTGGAGGGAAAACCTATCAGTTAATACATGATAAAACCTAGAGATGAAACTTTTGATATTATTTTAGATTTCTTACACATTTTTAAATGAGGCATTAAAATCTAGTTTACTGAGATTTCCTCTTCTGGCTTAACAGTGCGAGGAGCTCTGTAGACGATTCCCCAAAGAAACTAGTGAGCTGTATTCAAAATAAACAATAAACAAAAACCCATTTAAAGTGTCTAGGAATTGTCCTAAAGACACACAGAAACAAAGACACACAGAAATCTGTTGCTGAAGCTAAGCTTGAGGTGAGTGTGGCTGAAAACCACAGGGCTCCCATCTGGCCAGACAACCCTGATGAGATGGAGGCAGGACATAGCACCACTGGGAATACTGAGAATATCTTGTTTTCCTTTTCAAGATTGTTTTACAAACTTTAGGATCATTTTACCAATTTCTACAAAATTGATCTGAGAGTTTGATGGGGATTATGTTGAATCTGTAGACCTATTTGAGGAGTATTACCATTTCAACAATATTAAGTTTTTCAATCCATGAATATAGAATATCCTTCCATTTAAATTCTTTTAATTCTTTCAGTAATATTGCATAGTTTTCACTTATTTTGTTAAATTTATTCCCAAGTATTTTATTCTTCTTCAAAGTATTTTAAATAAAAATTTGTTTGAGGTCCTGGGGATTGAGCCTTTGCACTAAGCTACATGCTCAACCCTTTAAAAAAAAATTTTTTTTAAGACAAAGTCTTCCAAAGTTGCTAAAATTGCCCAAGCTGGGGTTGTGCTTGCAATCCTCCTGCTTCAGCCTCCCAAAATACTGGAATTACAAGCTTGTATCACCATGCCCCCCTGTAAATGGAATTCTTAATTTCATTTTCAAAGTGTTCATTGCTAGTGTATATTAATATTGATATATGTATATCTTTTATTCTTCAACCTTGATTAACTCATTTATTAGTTCTACTATCTTTCTAGTAAATTCTTTAGGGTTTTCTATATATAATGATCTTATGTGTAGAAATTTTACATTCTTAAACATTTTAATCTTTATAGCTATTGGAAATTCTAAAAATTATATCTTATGTGCTTAGTTATTATGCAAATAAGTATAGTAGGTAATGAATAAAAGATTTTCAAGAAGAGAAAATATTAACTGAGGTAAAATTTCACATGGTGGAAATATGAGTTATGGAAGAAAAGAAATCACACAAAATATTCTATTAAAGCAAAGCTTGTACATGTAGTTTAAAAATTGATGGTAAATATTAAATTGTCTGGTATTTAGACATTGGCTACATTTAGAAGTTGTGTAACTTTTATTTTAAAATGCTATCCTTTCAAATGATTTAAGTCAGAAGAAAAATTTTGGTGAACATTCTAAAATGTGGGTAGTACATAATTAGTTGGTTTTTTAAAATTCTTTTAGGGGCTTGAAGAGCAAAACTAATAGCAAAGTGCTATACAATAAGACAGGCCCCTGTTATGCCTCCATTTCCCGCCCCCCCCCCACAGAATGTTTTGTTTTGGAAACGTAAGTTTGTGTTTCAGTGCTCCTGCCCAGCTTATCAAAATGGTTTGTGACTATTTGAACTGTGTGCCCTTTCAGGAAGGTCCTGTTAAGCTCTGCCCCCTCACAAGAAGGTTCTGTTAAGCTCCACCCCCTCTCAGGAATGTTCTGTAATATTCCTGAGGGGGCGGAGCTTGGAGTTGCAGCACATTCCTGAGAGGGGGCGGAGCTTGGAGTTACAGCACATTCCTGAGAGGGGGCGGAGCTTAACAGAACCTTCTTGTGAGGGGGCAGAGCTTAACAGGACCTTCCTGAAAGGGCACACAGTTCAGTCACAAACCATTTTGATAAGCTGGGCAGGAGCACTGCAGCACAAACTTACATTTCCAAAACAAAACATTCTGTGGAAAAAAAAATGGAGGCACAAGGGCCTGTCTTTATTGTATAGCACTTCTCTGTCAATAGCATTTCACTAATTTTAAAGAACTTTTGAAGAAAAGTGAACTATGTGCACTTTGACTTTTTCTATTTAACCTTCTATAACCCTAAGCGATACTGACACAGTGTCTTAAGAGTCAGAAATTTAACAAATTTAATACACTTTGTAGCTGATTTCTGGCTACAACAGTAGAGTCACAAAGGCTACGTTCCAGAATTGCTGATCAGCCTTTGTTCTCCCAGATGCGCCGGGCTGCATTCCAGAGTTGTTCTGCCTCTAGCGGCCACAGGTCTTCAATGCCCCGAGACTCGTGTCGGGCGAAGCCTCACGTTCGCGGGAGGCGAGAGACACTGTGTGCGCAGGCGCGGGGTGACCTACGTGTCGGTGGGAGACCCGGGTGAGGGGTCCGCGCTGAGTTTCCTATTTAGGAGGTTCTGGGCCTCCTGTCCTCCCTTCCTTTCCCTAAAGTTTCACGTGGCGTCTAGGCTGGAAGCGGATTGACGTCCTCCCTTACACCACTTAGAAGGTTAGAGTGGGCAGAACCTAGTCTGGTCCGTGGGGAGGACGCCTATGGGCGTCACAAGAGAGGACCAGCGGCGCGGGCGGGTGACGTAGTCTGCGGCCTGAGTGTGAGCCCACGGGGCAGCCCGGGCGCGGGAGCCACGGCTCCTCGGCGGTCGCGGCGGGGCTGGGGACTTTGGAGCAGCGCCGGAGCGGGCCAGGTCTGGAAGGCGCAGGTGAGCAGCGGCCCGTGGCTCCCGCTGGGCGGGGGTGAGGCCCGGGGTCCAGGACGGGGGGGGGAGTGCGCGCGGGGGGAGGGGAGCCATTTCGAGAGCGGAGTGTTTGAGAAACTGGTAGTTGGTAGGTACCTGGTATTTGAGGGACTTGCCCTGCCTTCCCGCCTCATTCTCTGCTGGGATGGGGCGCGGCGTCCCGAGCATCTGCGTCCTCCCACCACCGCCGTTTACTTTGCCCCCTGAAAATCGCCTTGGATATTACCCTTCCCCCAGCGCTTACAGTTTCCTAAAGGGTCAGTAGCCCACCTTCTTGCAAACCAACAATCAACAGCAGTTGGACACTAGATAGCGTGTGATTTTACTCTTTCGAATACATCTGTTAATGTGCACTAGGGATGGCGCGCCGCAGAGGAATCCCTCCCACTGGATTTTGTTTCGGGGAAAAGTTGCTTTTGGAACGTGCTGTTTCTCGTGACAAGGCATTATTGCGTTACTGTAGGGCGGGCCCGTTTCCCTCTGTAACTGCGGGATTGTTTTATAGTCCTTTGCGGATCCTCGAGGTTTGCTTTATCATATTATAACTTAATGGATTGCCGTTCAATGTTAGCGCATAATAATGACCTCAAATATTTAAGAATTTAAGTTTTTCTTTGAAGTTTATAAGAGGAAGGCAGTGGAATATCGCCAGTTCTAAAAGGAGCTGTTTTCTGATTCATTCTCTTGTATTATTGATTTAATTTGGTGGTCTCATATGACCTGTTAGAAACTATATTATGTGGTTTGCTTCTCACCTGTGGCGCTTTCTCAGCCAGTTTCCCTGACCAACAAGAATGGGTAGGACGCTACAGATGAAGTTGTATACCAATATTAGGGGGAAAAAAGCCTCAGCATCTCACGTTCCTCCACATCAGTAAGAGGAATAAGTGATTGTTTTTTGAGATTCGTTGCACCATGTGGGAACTATAGCTAATAATCGAGTAATATACATTTTAATATCTGTAAGATAAAATCGCGTTCTCATTTCAAAACCATCATAGAGATAACACGTTAAACGATTTAATCATTCCATATAGTACCAAAAGTCAAAATATAACATTTTGTACACGATACATATGTGCAACTATAATTTGTTAATATATAATTTAAATAATAAGTAAATTTACAAGGGAAAATCCTGTCTTCATAAAGGGCCAGGTGGGCAGGCAGGCATTAGAGTAACTTCTCTTACTAGCTCTAGGAAGATAAAAGCTGCTTTATTGTTTTATTTTGTTTTTACCAGTATGGGGGGTGGTACTCAGGGTCTTTGCACTGAGCTGTATCCCTGGCTCTTTTATTTGCTCTTTTATTTTGATTCAGGGTCTTGCCTAGTCCCTAGGTTGCCAGGCTGGGTTCACACTTGCAGTCCTCCTGCCTTGGCCTCCCAGAGTGCCAAGATTACAGGGGTGGGTCACCCAGGCTCTACCTAAATGCTATATTATTAGAGCCTACTGTGTTGTTGCCTATTAAGTGTAATTGTTTACTACTTTTACTTTTTTATGGACTTGAACTAACTTGCCAAGATTTTGATTCAGTTTTATCTTTGCTTGTATCTTTTAAAATATATACATACATAGTTTAAACTAAGTGCCTTTTACTTCTTTGATAGGAATATTTAATATAACTTAAGTACACCATTGTTATCTGGAAATAGGTTTTGGTTTCTGATTCGACTATTATAATGGTGTAACTACTGTTTATTTAATTGTACTTAGGAATATGATAGGGCTCTGCTTTTTTTGCTACTTTTTTTTTATTCTCTGCTTCCTTGTACCCTCTAAGGAAAGTGATGTCTTAAAGTGTTTGTCTCATAGTTTTTGAGGGAAGAGGGGATTACAATCTGTGGAAAGGGAAAACATCGTGATGATATGTAAGACAGAATTGCAGGGAAAAGGGATTTTCAGTTTTGATAGGACGATAGAGGTAGGGCAGAAAAGGTGGATCTGTGTATGGTCAGTTGTATATATTTTCTAGTTGGGGATCTAGTACTGTATGTTCTGGTGACTATCATAAAGTTGCTGCATGAGGAGACCAACTAGTGGCTTCTTGGTTTTTTTTTTTACTTTAGAAAATATGATTATATTATTGAAACTAGACCACAGTTTCTGCTATGCTTTTGTTATGGGGAAAATAAATCACAACTTGTTGGATGTCAAATGTGCTAAGCTCCTGGTCTCACAACATGGAGGAACGAAATTGTGAACCGGAGGAGATTTAAGAGAGTTTTATTGGAAATAAGGGGAAAAATAGTCCCTGGATTTCCTATTAAGGTTTTGATGAGTACACAGGAAAATAATCTTTAAAACTGCAGTGCCCCATGTGCTAATCTAGATACACGTGGATAGTGAGCACTTAAGATGAGGTTGGAATTAATATATGCTTTAAGTAAAATACACACTGAGTTTCACAGACTTAATACCAAGAAAGGTAAGTTTCATTCAGTAATTTTTGTATTGATTACATGTTGAACTAATATTTAGGATGTATTTGAATAAATAAAATATTACTATTGAAATTAATTTCACTTGATTCTTTTTACCTTTTTAATGTGCTTGTTGGAAAATAAGAGTTACATGTGTAGCTCACATAATTCTATTGGACAATTTTTTTTACTATATGCATAAAGAATTAAATATTTTTCGAGGCTTGAAATGAAAATAAAGTCCCACCACCTCAGCCTTTCTTTTTCCTCCCAAAAGCAGCTTGTGTCAATTTCTTTACCTAATTCTTTTGGCTTTATCTCTAAACAATGTGCTTATATTGCTACTTTTTATTTTCAGTTTTAAGCATTGTCCATCAGCTTGCCACTAGAAGGATGAAGTTTTAGCTCTTTTATCTATACCACATGCAGCTATATGCCTATCCAGCCGTCTTCCTATCTTTTCAATACTGTATGGTAGTTTTATTTGGTTAATATCAAGATTCATTATTTACATTATTATGATACAATCAAAACAAACATTTAGTACAGTATAGTATGATTATTTTTTGTTTCTAGCTCAGTATCGTGTTTTCCCTGGAGTTAATAATTGTCTTGATTTTTATTTCCTTAATTTTCCATATATTTACCACTAATTAAAAAAATCTGAATCTTTCCACAGTTCTGAAGATCTCTTCTTGAAATTTAGAAACACATTGGTTATTCTAGAAGTTTCAGTTTCTTGAAAATATCTTTTCTGGAATTCTTACAGTATTCCAGTCTGGACAAGTTGCAGTTTGGGGATTCCATTATCAGTCTCCGGGTTTCTTTCACCAAATACGGAATCCAGGAAACAGGATGCAGTACCTGAACAGTCATGTGGCTTTGTTTGAAAAGTCATTTTTACTGAGAATTATGAATTCCTTGTACCATTTTCTTCTGAATTACACTTGTTGCCTTTAAGAAGTTCCTTAGCACGCTTTTGTCCCCATCCCCATCTTTTGCTGTGCAGTATCTCAATAAGCCTTTGTAAGATGGGTTCTTTGAACCTTGTTTTTGGAATTTTTGTGATGTTCCTTGGTGTCTTTTTCATCCTTTGTCCATTGGTCTTTTTAAATCTGGAAATTTATGTTTTCCAGTTCTGAGAAATTCTGTCAGTTATTTCTTTGACTCCTTCATTGGTTTTTCCTCCCTCTATTCTCTGTTTCCGGAAATGTTGTTAGATAATGGACCTTCCAAAGTAGGTCTTAATTTCTTATTGAGTCTTTCTTTTTAAAAAAAAAAAAAAAATCTTAGTCATTTTGCTCTGCTTTTCTGGACATTTTCCATGATTTTATAACCTTATCTTTTTATTCTTCTGATTTTTTTCTTTCAGGTATTTTATTTTTGGGGGAGGTTTAATCAATGAATTTTATTGTTAGGACTTTGAACATCATTAATCTAATGTCACCTCTGATTTCTGACAAGTGATCATCTTCATCCTTTTTTATTTTTATTTTTATTAGTACTTGTACATAGTGCATGATTACATTCATTGTGGGGAAATGGTACATGTACATAACACATCTCAATTACTTTTTTGAAAAGTCATTTTTACTGAGAATTATGAATTCCAGCATCAGATTCATTCATCTTAAAGTCCTTACAAATTATCATACATACAGATCAACAACCAGACTAACAGCCAAAAAAAACCTCATATAAAACACATAAGACAATTATATTAAATAAAGGTGTGCTTTCTTCCAGCTATTTTAAATTAATTTCCAAAAGTTCCATTTGTTCTTTGAGTGTCCTCTTTTGTGGACACATATACATCTTGTTTTTATTTTATGAATGCAGTATTTTTTTAATGTTGATATACATGGTAGGGTTTAAACATTTTTCCTTTCTTCGGACCATCATCCATTTCAACTAAATTCATTGCCTTTATTTTTATTTTTAATGGTAGATGTTTTTCTCAAATTTTGTGACCCTTGGCTGTCTGTACTTATGTATGCAGACACATATATCCTTACAAGAGAGGTATGTTCCAAATGAAGCCTCAAACCATGGATAATATTGAACCCTATGTTGTTTTTCTATACATACCTGTGAGAAAGTTTAACTTATAAATTAGACACAATAAGAAATTAACAATGGCTGATAGTAAAAGGACAGTTACAATATGCTTAAAAATTATGTGAATATGGTCTCCTGTGAAGCATCTAATTGTACTGTACTAACCCTTCTTATGATGATGTGAGGTGATACAGTGCCTGTGAAGTGAAATGAAGTGAATGGATCATCTGCTTTGAGTCATCCTGGATCTTTGTACCATAATGATGTTGATTGTAGAAAGTTGGGTGATGAGGTCCATGGTTGGGAATCCTTGATAGTTGAAAGGTTATTTTGCTCAGAACTTTCGAAAGAACATTGTAATCATTGTAATTAGAATGAAACCCTTGTAATTGTCTGTCTTTTCATGTTCTATGCTCCATTACCTTCTTTATACTTATATGAATATAGATTCTTTTAGGTATCTTCTTCCAGAATACTCTGGCTTTGTTGAAGTCTTCTGTTGGATGGTATCCTTTTTCCTTAATTTCTTCAACTTTTGTCAGAAATATGGCAGTAGCTTCTTCATTAGAAAATGTAGCTTCTCTAGTAATTTTTCTATTTTTCTGTCCAAACCCATTGCTGAATCTTGGCACCCCCCCCCGCATTTGCATTAAGTGATTTGATGACACATGTATCAGGGGATTCCTTGTTGAAGTCTTGATAGGCTCAGTGCTTTCTGCCACAACACTTGCCAACAATGAGAACATAGTTTCTGTTTATCTCTTCCACCCACACATTTAATGCATTTTCTATCTTTACTATGCTCATATACAACTTTTGAAATTTAGAGTTGTGGCAGCATAATTACCATGAATTTACTTTTCCTTTTTCACAAATGCACAGGTGAAAAAATTCACTCTTACCATGGCACTTTACAGCTTCTCTTTGACACATCCAAATTGCTAGTTGTACTTAGGCTATTAAGTAAAATAAGAGTTACTTGCTCACAGCACTTGCAATACCACACAGTTCATGTAATTACCAAGATGGGTACTAAGTGACTAATGGGCAGTAGCATATGGAGCTTGGATATACGGAACAAAGGAATTATTCAAATTCTAGGTTGGACAGAATGAGATTTTGTCACACTACACAGAACAATACACAATAGAAAACTTACGAATTGTTTATTTCTAGAATTTTCCATTTAAAAACATCAGACTGTGATCAACCATATCTAACTGAAACCTTGAAAAGTGAAACCACGAATTAGGGAGGACTGCTATACCTGTCTTTTGTAGGTATATATGTCCATTTCTCCTGGTTATACACCTGCAAATGGGTCATAGAGTAGATTAATACTTAGCTATAGCAGTTGTCAATTTTCCAAAGTGACTGTGCCATTTTTCAGCTTACATTTTTCAGCAAAGTGTGAATTCCAGTTGTTTAACCCTGGTAAATCTAGATTTTAGCTATCTGATAAGTACATAGTTTGAATTATTATGGATTTTAGTTTAATTTTCCTGAAGGAATAGTGTTTATTCTTTTTTGAAAAGTACCTGGTTGATGTCTTTTTTATTAAGAAAAATCATTATGCTTTTTTAATCTTCTAAAAGTCATTTTAGTTGGACTTAGGGAGGGAATTAAGACTAACTGCTCCTGGGTAACCTATTACCATTAGAGATAGAGTTGAAATTCCCTCCAGATTTTTTCTTCTGTCCTCTACAATGTGTGATTCAACTCACTTTTATTATCTAGATATAATCTAGATTTATATTATAATAAATTTTAGAATGAAACCCTTGGTCCTAACCCTAAAGATTGATATATGATAGGGAAATGTTTATTAGAAGAAACTAGCACAAAACTTATTTAATATATTCTGATTTGTTCTGTTTTTTAACTAGGAACTTTTTTAGGGCCAAGAGCATTTAACCATTCATCACCTACATTTTGAGTGCTTTCTCTGTGACAGAACTAAAAGTAGGCATAGGGAACACAATAGTGAACAAGACAGTGACAAAATTCCTGTCCTCTTGAAATATAATCAGGAGAGATGGATAGTAAATGTGTTAGTTACTTTTCTGTCATTGCTGAGACAAAATACCTGACACCCAAAGTTAAAAGGAAAGGGGTTTATTTGGCTTATAGTTCATAGACGTTTCAGTCCATAATTGGCCGACTCCAAGACAGAGATGACAGACAGGCACGGCAGAACAGAAACAACATGGTGCACACAAGTTAGCAAAGGTAACAAGAGACCTTCACTGCATCTTTCTGCCTCTTATATATTATTCGGACTACTCAGATTAGGGTGATGCCAAACTAATTACTCAAGTGTAATGGTTTAGTAATCACACACTCCAGATTCAACTACCTTTGAAAAAGAATGCATGAGGCTTTGAGGGGGCCATCCAAACACAAACCATAACAGTAAATAAGTAAACAAATAGCTAAACAAGTAATTACAGATAGTGTTTCCTATTTTGCAGAAATGGAGCAAGAGTCACAAAATGGAGAACCTGCTGAAATTAAGATTATCAGGGAAGCATACAAGAATGCTTTTTTATTTGTTGATAAAGGTTTGAATACAGATGAATTAGGTCAGAAGGAAGAAGCAAAGAACTACTATAAGCAAGGAATAGGACACCTGCTCAGGGGAATCAGCATTATATCAACAGACCCGCAACACACAGGCCCTGGATGGGAATCTGCTAGACAGATGCAACGGAAAATGAAAGAAACACTACAGAATGTTCGCACCAGGTTAGAAATTCTAGAGAAAGGTCTTGCCACTTCCCTACGGAATGATCTTCAGGAGATACCCAAGTTATATCCAGAATTTCCACCTAAAGAGATGTGTGAAAAGTCGCCAGGGCCTCAGTCCTCTAATTCACCTCCTCAGCATGCTGAACTAAATGGAAACACTGCAACTACAAGTTCAGGACCTATTGCTGCATCTTCTTCTCTAGCCTTACCATCTCCAAGCTGCCCATCAGAAGCTCCTCCTGCTTACACTCCTCAGGCTGTGGAGGGTCACTACACTGTGTCTTATGGAACAGATTCTGGTGAAATGTCATCATTTGTAGAAGATTTCTATAGGACTCATTCTCAGCCACCTCCTCTTGAAACCTTAGGGATGGATGCAGATGAATTGATTTTGATACCAAATGGAGTACAGATTTTTTTTGTAAATCCTGCTGGGGAGGTCAGTGCACCTTCGTATCCTGGGTACCTTCGAATTGTGAGGTTCTTGGATAATTCTCTTGATACAGTTCTAAACCGGCCTCCTGGGTTTCTTCAGGTAAGCCAAAGGAAGATGTAAACCTAATTTCAAATATATATAAAGTATATAATTTTTATTTGTTAATGTTTGTAGTATGTCCAGGATAATAAGTACAAAAAGGTAATGATTTTTTTTTTTGCATTGAGTTTATTGGTACATTTTAGGTGTACAATATGATGACATTCATCATTGGGAATTTGTATCTTTACATGATATATCTTGGTTCTTATTTTTTTTTCCCCATTCCCCTGCCCTCCCTTCAACCTCTCCACCCCTCCCTATTTACAAAGACTTTGTTTACATATTTTCCTTTTCTCATATTTATTCCTTTACCTTCTTTCCTTTCCCTCACCCCTCCCACTTCCCCTTCCCCTTCAGACCTTTTCTTCCAGTTTCACATTATCTATTATACATTTGATCCTCATTTACACTTTCAGTTTCTCACATTCCATGAAATTTATGACCCCTAAGCATCTGTGTTTGCATTTAACTTTTTTTAAAGATATACAATCTTGTTTTGATATTATAACTGTGAAAATGGGACCTGAGGAAAATCATAGAACTCATCCTTGAGTTTTTAATTCTTCATCTGAAGAAGAAACATACTAACCATAATTTCAGAGAATTTATGTAATTCATGTGGATATACTGTGTAACTGTAAATAGTATACACAAGTATTGTCAAGTCCAACCTGAGGTCCTGAACTGGGCTAGAGACAGCTGTGTAGAGCATTGGTTAACAATCTGGAGCAATTTTCTCTTCCCTGGGAACTTTTGACAGTGTCTGAAGAATTTTTTTAGTTGTTACAAGTAGGGTGTGCTTGCTCCTGTCATTGTTGGTAGAAACCAGGGATGTTGCTAAACATCTACACAAATCAGCCTGCTGTCAGCAAAAAAAAAAGTCAACTCAAAATCTCAGTTGTGTGAAGGTTAAGAATCCCTGGCCTAGAAATAGAGATTGTGTATAAACTTAACAGAATACATTTGGCCCAAGAGCATATAGACCAGTGATGGCAAATCTTTTAGAGCTTTCAGTGATACGGAGACAGCCTGGTGTAGCATGCATGCCATAGGTTTATGACCACAAGCAGAGACTGATCCTAAGTAATGGTTGATGTCAATTCATTGGTACAGATTTAATGAGATATTCTGAAGTTGGTAGGTCAGAGACAATTTGGTATTAAAAAGTTGATTGTATATAAGGGAGAGGGGTCTTGAAATGAGGACTTGAATACACTGAGAATATAACAAAGGAGTTTGCATTGAGTAGAGATCACTAAGAAAATAGGTTCTTTTGCCCAAAGTTCAGATAATGTTTATTTAACAGTGGTCATCTATATATATTCTCTCTTATGGTGTACTCTAATCTCAATTTTTATATAGCTTTTATATGGAATCAGTTTGAAAATTGTTTAGAGGAAGCTGGAGGCGTATTAGAAATGCGTGAAGGAGATATTTTGGGGTTTTATTCAAAGGAAAAATTCGTTACTTGGGCAGGAAGAATATTGTGAATCCTACTAAGTTATTTTAGAGATCCAGCCTTAGTTAAAAAGTGTAGGCTTGTTGATTGGGGTCAAGGAAGAGAATGGATAAATTAAGCTTTATTTATGATGATCTGGTAATAATGCTGCATTGAAACAGTGGAATTTAAAATCTGAGTCCTCAGCAACTGAAGGTACAGAAAGTGAATGGCAGAAACATTGTATTTGGTTATATGAGCTCAGCCGTTGATTTGTCATACTCCAGCAAAAGTTTATCTTGTCTTAGAGCTATGGATTTGGTGTTTAATCTCTCTCATACCTTGTCTTTAGGTCCTGAAAGAAAAGTAAAATGGCATGTAGAATTTAATTTGGTTCTTTAACAAACTCATTTTCATATATTCAAGTACAGTATTTATAGTAGCATGTCCTACAAAGGAGTTACCATGTGTATTTACTGAATGTTTGTGTCCTAACAAACAGATAAGCAACCTACTCTTAGAAGTTAGATATGATTTATTATGCTGTTGGTCATTATTGGTCTGTTTAGAAACTGAGAACAAGATTATTTGGCTTTAAGTTGGCAAATTGGAATTCTAAGACTTCAAAACACTGTTTTCTTTTGGTTTTTAGTTTTAATATGCCTTTTGGCCTATTAAATCTGTAGTCACTTCATATAGAACTTGGTCCTGAGAGTTCCTTCTTAAAGTGAAATTGGAAGAAACCAGCCTATGGACAAAGAGCTCACAATCTGTAATAACCTATCCTACAAAAGGTCTATAAAGTTTTCTGTGTGTGTGTGTGGAGCTGGGGATCAAATCTAGGGCCTTGTACTTGTTAGGTAAGTGCTCGCCATTGAGCTATGTCCCTCCCCCTTAAAGTTCTTTTGGAGAAGATTTGAGGATATTCCAGTTCAGCAAGGCAATCAAGATAGAGCTAATTTTATAGAAATCATGGAATAATAAATAAAAACCGTTCCCATGCTTTAGTCATTTTAGAAAAACTTTTATAATTCTTTGGTCAAATCTATATCCCTACTATTATTACTTGCTTAATACTTTTATTGTTTCATTGTAAATTTCATCATAATGACTGAAATTAAGGAAAAGATATATTCTTTTCTAATACATATTAAAATACATAATTACTCAGATTTTGAAAGTTTATGAATTATCTGACGTTTCACATACCACAGATGACTTAATACTTTAGAAGGCAGTTTTATTATAACCTGTCAAAGAAAAATGCTTATTAGGAAATGGCATTTAAACTTTTTATTGCAAGATCATACTAGCAAATGACTAATTTTCAATGGAGATTTATTGATGTTGATGGTTCTATAAAATTTTTAAAATGTAATTCAAACGTTGAGATGTTTTATTTTCAGTATAGCAGTTTTACTGAAACTTCAGTGAAAATTTGTTCCTTAAATGATTTTATTTTTCCTTTACTTTTTTTCAGGTTTGTGACTGGTTGTATCCTCTGGTTCCTGATAGATCTCCAGTTCTCAAATGTTCTGTGGGAGCCTACATGTTTCCTGATACAATGTTACAAGCGGCAGGATGCTTTGTGGGTGTGGTCTTATCCTCTGAGCTACCAGAAGATGATAGAGAACTCTTTGAGGATTTGTTAAGACAAATGTCTGACCTTCGACTCCAGGTAGCTTGTGTCATCATTGTAGGATGCAAATTTACTTTATCATAATTGATTCTACTTCTAAATAAATTGTACTGTGATCAAAAGTAGGGGAGTATATAATTTCCTTCTGTGCTCATAATCCACATTGGGAATTTTTTCTAAGTATTAGGTAAGATTGTAGGGTCTAGAGTCAAATTGCCTGAGTTTGTAAGCATCCACTTAATAGCTGTTTCACTCAGCTGTTACTGAATTTCTCTGTACTTTAGTTTCCTTATTATAAAATGGGGATGCTAGTAGTAATCTCATTGGGCTGTGATGAAGATGAAAGAATTTGTATTAATGCTGGCAATTGGTAACGTTCTGTGAATATTGGCTGTTATTTTCACCACTATTTTACTGCTCAGTTGGAAAGGGGGCTAGTGGAACTAAATCATGAAATGAAGAAAATTTTACCTTTATCAAGTGGATTATGTTGGACATGCTAGGGGTATAATTGGCATTTTAAGGACATTGATTAAGAAAATTATGTTTCTTCTCATGGTAAATGATGGCCAGATGAAAAGAAAGTGTAATATAAAATGTAATCATCCTGTGACCTTCCTTATTTAGGCTGCTTGCCCTGCTCACATGCCTATCTGTCATAAGGAGTTGAAAGATTATTATAAACAAGTTGTCTAGGATTGAGTGAGGTTGACAGCATGATAGAAAAACCTTTTATTCTTTTCTTTATTCAACAGATATATGGAATCCATTATTTAACTATTTAAATGGTAGGATGGGAAGAATGAGAACAAGAAAATAAAAGGAGACATACAACACGCAGACACACACCCCTATTCTCTGAGAATAACCTGGTGATCAATAAGCCAGTAATTTATAAAAGCAGTAATTTAAACTATGTTAGTATACATCATTCGCATTCATAAATGTGTAGCATTATTTAATTAAATACTTATAAATTTATTTTACTCGTGTGTTATCTAAAATTTATTATTAAATTCAAATTAGCTACATCTGATTTCAAGCTACCACCACCAACAACTGCTACAAGTTACCTTTTATATTTTGTCTTTTGAAATATACTTTAAGCCACAGGCTGTAGTATTAACCAAAGAACTCAGAGGTTTGGGGTTTGGTAATGAGATAAAAATTTCAGGAAAAGAAAAGCAAAAGTAGTTATTTATAGACTATCAAATGCAGACATTTGAACAAGTATTTCATTAGATCATGGTGTAGTGTAATCGGAGCAAATAATTGGAGGAAACTTACTTAAAAGTCTATTTGAACTAAGCTTAGTCCTTTACTCTGTAGGCCAACTGGAACAGAGCAGAAGGAGAAAATGAATTTCAAATCCCTGGAAGAACAAGATACCCCTCTGACCAAGTGAAAGAAGCCTCTGGTAGTGATGTGAGTCAGTTAGACCCTTCATTAGGCCAAGGCAACAAGGATGTGCATCATAAAAGAAAATATAAGAAAAAGGTAAATAAAGAAGCAGTAAGAAGTATGTATGTTCCCTTCTAATGGTACCTTTCACCAGCTTTATGTATTCTATAATTGCATTCCCATTCTCTAAAGCACATCATCTTGGACAAAGTCACAAAGTGATCACTGGCAAAAGTAGTCAATTTTAATATTATATTTAATATTTAATATATCCCTTTCCAAATATTTGTTACTTAAACTATTTCAAAAATATATTTTGTGTTTGGGGATAAAAAGATTTTCATATTTATATTCATGTGCATACTTTGTTTCATGGTGTTCTCTACTTTCCTATATTCACCCAGATGTTGGGGCAAAGTATGCTAGCTACTCTTTTACTGCTGTTATTCTTCATTTCCTTAGATTTTCATGGATGAGCAGCAGAACTGAGATTTGATATCTTAAAATATACTCAGAAGTTTTCTCTTTCATTTCTTAGGTTGTGAATATGAAGTATACTCTAAATGATAAATCTGAATTAGGGTTCAGTAAAAATGTACAGTAATACCTGGTTCACACATGCTTCTGTTTGCAAATAGTTCAGTTCACAAACAAAGCATCAGGCAAAATTTTGTTTCCCTTTTCAAACTCCACATCAGGTGACAAACACAACCATCTTCCCTACACAAATACAGACACAGCCATCTTATCCAAAATTGTAAAACAAATTAAGTTAATAAACCAAGGTACCAATGTGTTGAGTACTGGAGTGTTACTCAGTGATACCAGTGTTACTGAGTTCTGGGGAGGGGAGCTATATAGTGGAAAAAGTTTGTTTCTTCTATTGAGGGATTTACTATCTAGTGGACAGTACAAATTAATAAGATTATTTCTATCTAATGTGATCAATAGATAATAGATAAAGCCTAACTTAATAGATAAATATGATTGGATGTGTGGCATGGAAAGCAGTGAAGAGCCTCATCCTTGAGTACATTGTGGTCAAGATAAGTATTGAAGGGAAAGAAGAGTTGGCCATAGAGTTAAAGACATCACACTGACATCACATTACACTGTATCATTGTGATATCATGTCAGTGTGATGTCTTTAACTCTTTCCGGAAGATAACTAAAAGGGTAATACCTGGGTAGAATGGAATTTCTATTTTTAGTTTTTTCAGGACTTTTCATATTGATTTCCATAGTAGCAGTTCTAGTTCACATTCCCACAATGTAGAAGGTTTCCTTTTCCCCCACAACCTTGCCAGCATTTGTTATTTGATTTTTTGATGAAACTCATTCTTTTCAGAGTAAGATGGAATCTCAGTGTAATTTTAATTTGCATTTCTCTAATGACTGAGCTACATCCTAGCCCTTTTAAAATTTTTACTTGGGAAAAAAAAATTTTTTACTTGGAGACAGAATCTTGCTAAGTTGCCCACACTGGGTTTGAATTTGCATTCTTCCTGCCTTAACCTCAAAGGGGGTCCAGTTATAGATGTGTGTGACCACACCTAGCTAGGATCATACTATTCACTCCCACTAGTAGTATATGAGTAGTCCTCTTCCCTCCCACTGGTTTTTGTTACCTGTGGTCAACTACAGCCCAAAAATATTAAGTCGAAAATTTCTTCTGTAATTATTTCTTCTGAAATATACAATTCATATATAATTTGGGCTTTCTGAGTAGTGTGTTGAAAACTCCTGCCACCCCTTCTACATGCCCTCCCATCACAAATGATCCCTTTGTCAAGCATATTTACGTTATATGCATAACTTGCCCATTAGTCACTTAATAGCCATTGTGGTTATCAGATGGATTGTCCTAGAGTTATAGGGTTTGTGTTCAAATAAGCCTTATTTTAATAATGGCCTCAGAGCCCAAGCATGGTGATTCTGGCAATTTGAATTTGCCAAAGAAAAGCCTTAAAGGTGAAAGGTGAAAGTTCTCAATTTAATAAGGAAAGAAAAATAATCAAATGCCAAGGTTGTTAACATCTACAATTAAAAACAAATCTGTGAAATTTTGAAGGAAAGGAAATTCATGCTAGTTTTGCTAATGCAAAACATACTGTTACAACTTTTCTGTTTTACCATTAGTGTGTTAACTGCTTACTGTGCCTAATTTATAAATGGAACTTTATCATAGCTATATATGTATAGGAACAAACAGTGTATGTGGGGTTCACTAGAAACTATGTCAGGCATCTAGTAGGGGACTACTGTGTCTGAGGAGGTGGTTAGTCTTTCTATATTTAGTGGTTCTGCTAGATGAGAAATGGTATATGAGAATATCTTTGCATTGATTTCATTTTAAATTATGCCAAACCTTTGTGCTTAAAGATTCCTTAAATTTTGTTTTCTGTGTATTATAGTTGTGTCCTGTTTCCATATTTTGAGAGTTACTAATTTTTTTATTCTCATTTTTTGGGAATTCTTTATATATTAGAGGTATTGCCACATTGTGAAAGATAGAAGTTGCAAATCCTTTACCCAGTTTATCTTTAGATTTTACTTATGGTTGGTTTTTTTCTCCCACATAGAAGTTGTTATCTAATACATGTGTGTATATGCATGTATATATGTATCTATACATATCTATATATACAAAATCTATTTTTATATTTTAAGTGAAGTTCTGTGGGGCACTTTGATTT